TTCTTATATGCAAGTTACCATCAGCTAAGATTTATAACACACAGAGCAAATGAATGAAAAACAGATCAATTTATTAAATTTATAATTTCCTTCCCCACTATTTGTCAACCTCACTCCATATCAGGCAGTGAAAATAAAAACTTTGCAATAATAACATAACAATAATCTCAAGGAGGAGCATAAAACTGGTGGCAGTCATAGAATTAGGATCTTTACTATGTTCACTTATCGAAGGCCTTTTTCTGTTGGTAGTTGAACACATAAAAAGTAAAATCAAACCACACAAATGGGGAAATGCACATAAATACAGCAGAAATAGAGGCATTAAACCTGTAGCCCAACACTCCCAAGGGCAGCCAGAAGCAGATTAAAATGTAATTGGAAAATATTTAACAGAATAAATAAAAATACAACAGAACGTAGATAATGTTGATATATAGCTTTCTAAATCAATATGACCTTTTATGGTTCCTTATGTATGATTTAGTGGCCCCTTTTCTATTTGAGTCTAACACCAGAGGTACAATATAGCAGAGGACCCAAGTTCAAATCGTGGCTATTTTTCATTGCCCTTAAACAAGTCATCTAAGCATTTCAACTCAATTTCCTCATCTGTAAAATAAAGGTGTTGGATTAGATAATTTCTATGGTCCTAAATCTTATAATTTTATGACCTAGAATTATTATGGATGTTGAACCAAACCTCTTTTGTACTGCAAATGCAGTACAAAAAAAAAAGTAAGTCTGATATGCCAATGAGTAGGTAGTTGTAGGAACAATGAAGCAATCTTCCCATGATACCCAAGTACAGGTTTGCTGCACTACTGGCCAGGTCTTAGTCAAAGACATATTGTGTCCATTTCATAAGTCCATAGTTTATGGAGGATGAAGAACTTGGAGTCAGGTCAAAGGACAGTAATAAAGATTATTGAAGGGCAGGAATGTAAGATTTGTGATGATAGCTAAAAGCTGCATTTATTTAGTCTAGAGAGGAGAAGGCTATGGGCTAATTTAATAACAACTGTCAAGTATATGAGAGGGTTATCAGTGAACTCTGCCAACCTGACAGAGAAAGAAACAAGAGGAAATGGATTTAATCTGCTGCATGAAGGATTAGGTTAGATTATACAGAAGAATTTCCTGACACTGAAGCTTGATAAGCATTGGGATGGGTTATAGAGAAAGGGAGCATAAAGACCTTCTATGAAGGTTGTAAAAAGGGGATTCTGATTAGCCTTAGCATTGTAGGTGTGGACTTAAGTGAAAGCCCAGGGTGGGTGGACTTAAGTTTCTTTTAAGATTTCTCTTGGTCATACAATTCTATGATTATTCTTGTTATATAAGTACTATTCTTAGATAATAGAAAGACATTTTTGTGTGCAGAACTTGGCGTCTCCTGCTACATCAAACTTTTCTTAAAGGGCCAATCTACTCAATATCAGCAAAATGTTGAGGATTTTGAATATCCTAATTTACAAATTTTGAAGGATCTCTAGTAGTAATACTGGTTATAAATCCATTAAAATCACAAATCCAAACGCCAAAAGATTAAGGGTGTCACCAGGTTTTCCACCGACAGTCATCCATCCCGGAGCTCCCTAGAATTTGTCATCGGCTTCCATCCCCCAACACGACAGTCCTTTCTGTAAAAACTTTTACGAGACAGAGGTTCCCTCCCAGTACAACAAACGGCAGGATCCGAACCAAGATTGCTGGTGATGAGCACCTAAGCAGTTAGCACGAGGGCAGGGCTGTGGCTGCCGAGGCTCCTACTACCCAGGTTGCCAGTACTCGGGGGGTGGAGACCAGGGAACAGTGCAAAGAAAAAAAACCCCGCGGGGAGGTAGCTCTTGGGAACTGGCTTCTCCAGTAGGCCTCTCCCACAGCAATGCAATCTAAGCGGTATTTCCAGGTGGCTAGTCAGTCCGTCCCCCCTCCCACTTTCTCCGAGGTTGGTTGACAGCTTTAAGCCCCACTGCCTTTGCTAAGGGGCGGGGAAAGCAGAGTTTATAATAGACCTCGGCGGACGGTACAAAAGAATAGGTGGGGCAGGGGTAACCAGAACTCCATTTGTTTAACTTCTAGCGAGCCTATTAGTTGAAATTCGCCTCTCCAGCTATTAGATTGTTTAGAGGAGGGAGGTGCGTTTGGATTGGATCCGTCTCTGGCTGCGCTAGGCTAAGAGAGATATTCCTAAACCCCTAAAGGGTCTCCTGCCCTTTTCAGGGGAAATTAATAACTATAGCTTACGTTTGCACCATGTAGTCACTTGCAGTTTTATCTAATTCTGTTATTTGCTCTGTGGTAGTTAATGTTAGCAACAGACCTCCTCCCCCCAACCCTTGCTTTAACTCTCTACCTGAGACCTCAGCAACCACCCAGCCAAAAACAAAACAAAACAAACCCCCAACAATTTCATTAAATCAACTGACTTTCCACCTTTCACTTCCACCTGGGAAAAGAGACTTTTAAATCTTCCACGACTTTTCTGTCTTCTCTCCCAGATACTATAACTTTCAGCCACCTCTCAGAAAAGGTTATGAAAAACTTCCTTGCCTTATCTCCACCTGCTCCAATATACCAGGTGTGCTGTAAATGGTCAGCCTGGTAGAATAAGTGGATAGAAAGGCGTTGTTTTGTTTTGACGTCATTTAGGCTACAGCGCAGGGATTCATGAACGTCATTATTATTAGTTTTACATTGAAAATATTAGCGTCTGAAAAATCTGAACCAAATCGCTTAGATCTAATATGAGAATTCCGTTCCCCAAGACAGGTGAATTTGAAATACAAAAGCTATCTAAATTGCTGTATCACCTTATTTCTCTTTTATTTTGTACTCCCCACACCAGACAAACCATCCTAATTGTCCGAGTCCCGTCTCCCTGCTTTTGCATACATAGGCTGTATACCCCTATTCGGAAGAAACTGCCTCCTTACAACCCCGCTTTTAGTTCCCTTCAAAACTCGGCTTCAGTAACAACTTCTTGAAAAGCCTTTTATCGTTTCGCCCAGACGCTTGTGACTTCAGAGAAATTACTTTGTATCTATTTTTGCTTATTTGTACACGTGTTTCTTCCCACAAGACAATATGACCGCGTTGAGGGAAAAGAAAGTTTCATTTTTACATCTTTTACCGTCCACAGTTCTTGACACATAGGCGCCTAATAAATGCACATTGGCTGAGTGATTCAGTATTCTAAGACGTCAATAGGATTTGTGGTTATGAATGGATTGACTGTCATTTTCCAAATTTCTTCCCTCTAACAAGTTCCCGACAAAACAAGCATATGGAAGAATTAAAGCAGAAATCTGCATTGACCTCAATTCCTTTATTTTTCAGTTTACTGAAGGGCAGTGTTGTGTAGTGGCTAGGGAACTGGCCTTGCAGCCAGGAAAACGGGTGCGGAGGAAATCTTACTAAATAAATGATGTGTGGACGCATAAAAGGAGTAAGGCCGTGACCTCGATGAACCAAGATTTTTAGTGTGGCAGCCTCCTAGAAGGAGGTCGGAATCAGGGAGGTTTGGGTTCAAGTGCTGCCTCAGACTCGTCTTTGCCCACTTACAAACCGTGGGACTGCGCTAGTAATTCACAATTTTTCTGCTCACCAGGCAACTCTCTAAAACCTCTCAGCTTGTTTGTTTGTTTTGACCGTACCTGGGGTTTCAAAGGTGGAGGAAAGGGTAGGGAGCTTCTCAACTGACACAGGTGGCCACCTTCTTTGTAATTTAAGTTTTATATAGCCTGAGGCACTGAAGGGTTTGGTGACTGGCCCCGAGTCGCTCCGCCATTAAGTGTCCGAGGCGAGACTCAAACCTGGGTCTCACATTCCAGACTCGCTTCCTATTCTTTAAGCTACTCAGACTTTCCTCTAAGACTAATTTGCCAATCCCTCTAAGTGCAAAGAATTTGTCAGACTGGGAGCCCCCACATGCATGCAATCAGGTTTGGAACAAACTTCTAAATCTATGTTTATAGTATATGTACATCAGAGAATGGAAACGTAATAAATGAACACAACCAATTAACGAAAAAAGTGTGGACAAGTTTGCCTGAATTAGCCACGGGCTTCCTGCCTAACTTTGTGCCGTGCAGACCTGGCCAGCGTGTCACTTTTGTCTTTGGGTGTGACTCTGGACACCTGGGTTTGCCTCCCTCCTAGGTGAGCCCCTTAGAGCTCAGCTCCAATCATTTCAGCTCTCAGGAAAAGTGAAAAGCTCCCTTGCCAGCCCTCCAGGATAAGGAAGTGTGCGTTCGGGTCGGGGTAGGGTGGAGTGGGGGAGGGTACATCAGGTTTTGGGGCTGCTGTTTGCACTGGAAGGTGTGTGGCGCTCCAAAGAGACTTTTCCGGTCTTCAGGAATTGCCCTCGCCACCTCCCTGCTGCTGTTTACTGCTCACTCACTTCTTCCCTCCCTCCCTGGTTGCCACCACACCCTCTATAACTCCGCGCCCCCTTCTATCCTCACCTCTGTTTCGCCCTCCTCTTCTCTGAGACTCCTCCACCTCAGTTTTTTTCTCTAGAGCTTCAGTTGCTCCTGCTTCCAGTCCCCAGGATCAGGCCTTCTTCTGACCCGCCCCGCACCCCTCAGTTACCTCCCTTTCTGTTCCTGGCGTCCCCATCCTTCTCAATTTCTCCAGTCCTCAAGACCCTTCACCAGTTTCCCCCCGTCCCCCAGGTGGCCCAGGCTCTTCCTCACCCCAGGCTCCTCAACCTCTTGGGATTCTGCGGATCCTCCCTCTGGGTTGTATCCGCCCTTCCACCACCCCCCCAGCAGCCCGTTTCATTCATCCCGCCATTGTCTCCGGGTCGCAGCTGCCGCACCAGCCCACTCCTCCCTCTCGGCAAATCTGCCTCCTCCCCCACCGCTGCCACGTCGTGGTTTGAAGGAACCAATGGGCGGGCGCCGCCAGGTGTCTCTCTCTTACCTGCACCACGTGGGGGAGGGTGGGCAGGTAGAGCCACATCCCCCAAACAGAAAAACCTTCTGCCATTGCGCGCGCGCCTCCCAGGGGTGCAGCCCTTCTCTTTGCTTTTTGCATTGACTCACGGGCAATTAAATACAAAAAGGGCCAAGCCTCTGAAGCTTTCCTTTCCCCACCCCACCCCCCTCCTGCCCTCGGTGTGTAGCACAGCCAGGTGTGGGGTAGAGTGGTTGCACTGCCTTTTACACCAGTGGCGGCGAGGAGGGGGGTGGTTTTTCTTCCTTTTTCTCTTTGTAAAAGGGCTTGGCATCGGTTTTTCTTTTCGCTACTCCCTCGCCGCCTCAGCACTTCCCAGTCCCCCTTCTCCCCCTCCCCACCTATCGTCATGACGGCGTCTCCTGATTACTTGGTGGTGCTTTTTGGGATCACTGCCGGGGCCACAGGAGCCAAGCTGGGTTCGGACGAGAAGGAGCTGATCCTGCTACTGTGGAAAGTGGTGGATCTGGCCAACAAGAAGGTATTTGTTCCTTGGCGCTTTTGTCCCACTTGTGGGAGCCGGGAAGAAGTTCGCTTTAGAAAAAGGGAGGGGAGGAGTGGAGGTGGGCTCTGCTGCCTGAGTGCCGGGAATCTAAAGGCCTCCGGAGCCTTCACTGAAGTCGTTTCAGTGCCTCGAATTCTGGCCAAGCTCAGATCTGGTGCTAAGAAGGGACACACTATTGGAACCGAGCAAGGCCCTCTCCTCACGCCCCCGGGGCATCCAGCAACTACCTAAGGGGGCTGAGAATATCCAGCCTCACTGTCTTCCTACCCCAGTAGGACTCCAAGGAGTTAGACGACTGTAGGACACCGCCTGACTTAACCGACAGCAGCCGGTGTATGAAATAAAAGCTCTGATTATCCGACCAGATCCCCAGAGAGGCTTGGGGGGCGGGGGAGGCCGTCTCGGGGAGTGGAATGAGGGAAGAAGAGTAAAGAAAAGCAACCAGTGAGAACTGAAAAGGAGACAGGAGGGTGGAACTGACCCTTACTTTTTCTCCCTCCGGAGGTGGGACAGTTGCACGAAGTACTAGTTAAACCGGATCACTTGGAACTGACTGAGGACTGCAAAGAAGAAACCAAGATCGACGCAGAAAGCCTGTCCTCAGCCCCGCAGCTGGAGCAAGCCCTCAGACAGGTGACAGACAGCCCCTGTCCCACTAATCCCACCTTCACTTTTCCCCAGGCCTTCCACTCCCTCCCTGCCAGAGCTCCTGGCGCCCTGACTTGGCTGCTAGTGCTGGGGAGGGGAGGCGCACTAGGGCAGGGCCCTGGCGTGGGGACCAGACCTCGTGGGAGGAAGCTGCTGTTCTGGGGTTGGAGCTAATGGGTGAGCAGATAATTGAAACCCTTTTTGAAGATTCTCCCTTCAACCCTCACGACAATATTTGTCCACTTCTCGAAGTCCTTGTCTTCAAACTTGTGTCAAGATAGCCATTATTTAAATCTTCAAACTGCCTTCAAGTCAAAGGGAGGAAATAGCTTCAGTTATCACAAATACACACTGTTTTTCTCTCTCTCTCTCCCTCTCCCCTTCTCCCCCTCCCCCTCTCTCTTTCTCTCTCTCTCCTCCGTCTGTCTGTCTCTCCGGGTCTGTCTCTTTCCCTGCAGACCTTAGGCAATGCGACTGTAACTCGGTGAAGGGCAGGCAGCTTAATTGTTTGGGTAGAATACCTACACGTCCTCTGGGCTTTCTCTATCTGCGTGCCAAATCCACCTCTGGGGGAGCCGGAAGGCAAAGGCGCTCCTTGTAGTGCACTCCTCCCTCCTAGCTGCTGATTTACTCCCTAGAGGTTTGTAAGTACTCTGAGGCAGCACTTCCGTAGCGTAGGGGCTTCGTGGCATGGGAGGAATCCCCTAGTTCTTTCTTGTAAGCTGCGTTCTTTTTGGATTCGGGGGAAGTGCCTTATGGCTCACCTGTTGCCTTTTTGAAAGACAAAAGCAAACTCTCTGGGTTGGCTCTTCTCTTCTCCCTCTTGAGATCACAGAGAGTAAACCACCTAGGCAAGAGAGTCTGAGGTGAGAGTTTTGAACAGACAGCTTTATTATTTATTTGTGGTGCATTGACCCAGGAAAAGGATACTAGACTTCAAAAAGGTGAGCACACGGTTACGATTGGAATTAGGCAAGGCAGGCTACTGCTTAGAGGCAACATGTGGAGTTATGGTGTATTTCCAATAAATGAATGTATTTTAAGTGCTAGAAAATTCTGCCTTGTTTAGCACCAGCTCATCTGTTCTGTGATGTCATTTGACACTTCTTAAGACAAAATGCAAAGAAATAAAACACAGGATGGGAACAAATACTTTGTCCTGGCTCTGGGTCTTTGTAACCACTACCTCTATTTCTTTATAAATGGATGCTTCAGACATCTTCCAAAACTACACCAGAAAATCATTTCATCAGAGACAGCAGGCTATTGAAATGAAAAAATCTGACACACAGGCCAACAATGAACACTTCTTAAAAATAAGGGTTCGTGAACAAAAGGTGTCTTTTTAAGTGTTTTTCTCCATCCATCCTCTGACATTAGTATCTTGGGCAGATGGAAAAGTCCCTCAGAGGGAAAAGAGATGTGTAAGGAAGTTTTATGAAAGCTTTTCTCCTTATTGTTGCCCTGGGCAGCAGTTGTACATCACTTGCCAGAAGTTAGCATGTGTTTCCTTGAGTATACTAAGTGGAACACTTTTCACAGCTGAATAGCTTGTAAATCTGTTTTATCAGTTGTATCCTCCTCTGCATCTTCCTTTCAGTTCAATCAGTCCGTGAGCAACGAACTGAACATTGGGGTAGGGACTTCCTTCTGCCTCTGTACTGATGGCCAGCTTCATGTCAGGCAAATCTTGCACCCTGAAGCTTCCAAAAAGGTAAGAGGACTCTGTGAAGAAAAGACGAGATTTTTTTGTCTTAACTTTTTTTGTTGTTTTTCTATAATTTTTTTCTTTAAACTTGAAAAATAAAGACATGACACTTTCATAAAGAAGTGTTTCCTTAAATTACTAAAGCGGATTAAACTGTTGAAATTTGAAGTGATTTAAATACACAGGATTTTTTTTAATTAAAAAAAGCCAGCATTCCTTTGTTATTTTAATTTAAATTAGGTTTTGGAGATGTATGGCATTCTTTAGCCTTTTCAGAGACTGATCTGATATTTGCGATTATGTTGGAACGTGCTTATTTAGAAAGATGAAAACAACCAATCAATACACATTTAATAACCACCTATTATTTGCCAGGTGCTGTGCTAAGCATAGGAGAGGATGTTTCTAATTGTTTAAAAAACAAAAAACTTTGAGTGCCATTGGGCTTCCCCTTGCTGAAAATGCTTAATTCCAATTTACTACCTTCAGGTTTTAGTTCTGTTGGGGTGGGGGGTGGGGTTGAATTAAAGGATCTTTATATAGTATACAGAAATGGAAAACTGTAAAGACTGAGTTATATCACTCATTTGTTTTTTTCATTAATTAAGGTTGAAACATGTAATTGAGTATTAAAGACCACTTCATCTTGTCAGTTTCCCAAAACTTCGGAAGCAATTCTTCAAATTGTCTGATTTTGCTTTTATTTCTATCTATTTGTATTTATGCCTATTTCTGATTTTGCTTTTAAGAAATTTAATGAGTGAGAAAACCTGAAAAGTGGTGTTGACTTCATGTTCTCTCTAGGGAAAGTTTAGGGACAATATAGGTATAGAGTCATAAAAAGTTCATGTTTGGGAATTAAATTGGATTAGACCTAATTGTTTGATGGTAATAGGCATTCAGGGTTGTTGTGGTTTTTTAATTTTCTTCTTGGTGACCTGAATGCTTTTTATTTAACTGTATAAACCCTTTCAGTGGCTTGGAATAATTTATAGTAGGCAATTCGTCAAAGCTACTTTCCTTTTGTTTTAATATACACAGTAATGAAGAGGCACATTTACATATCCCTGATTTTCTTTTAAGAAGTGCTTTCCAATAATGCTGTTATTCAGCTCAAATTCCAAAAGGTCTGGGCAATAGCAAAAATGACATTCAATTTGGGCTTTTACCGAGTGCTTACTATGGACAGGAACTGTTAGGGGAAATGAATGAATGAAATGAATGAAAACTGTACCATTTCCTATTTAAGGAGTATAGAAAATATGACAAAGTCTCCTTAATAGACTATTAAATGTTTGTGGGGGGAAACAGATAAACAGGAAAGAGAAATGAAGACCAACTATATACTGTGACCATTTTCTATTTGAGACTTGATCAGATATAGAAAACTCAAAGAATTAGTTTGCAGGTTAAACTTAACTTAGGGTAAATGTCTGTGGCAAATGTCTGCTGTTTAGGAAATCCAAAAAAGTGAGTTTTTACCTCTTAAGCTGCAAGCACTGATTACAGAGATTGAATGAGAATGGTTTCATAAGGAAGAGACACAAATTAGTCTTTTGTTTCTGACTATACCCCATATATCTAATACATAAATACATAAACCAGTAGCCAAAAACATTTCTTATTTTAAAAAATTTATTAATAATTTTTATTTACATTGCTATCACTTTCCAATGACTCTTCGTTATCCCCTTTCCCTTCCAAATAGAGCCCTTCTCTATTACAAAGAATTGCAGTTAAGAAAAGCAATTCAACATAGCCACCTGTGAAAAAGCATGCCTCATTCTACACCTGCAGTCCACCACTTCTGCCAAGAGGTGGGAGACATGCTAGAACTATTTTAAAAGAATGGTACAAAATCAATTTAGACCATTCTCTTCCTCTCATCTGCCTGAGTTCATATCTGGCCTCAGACACTTACTAGCTGTGTGACCCTGGGCAAGTCACTTGACCCTGTTTGCCTTAGTTCTTCATTTATAAAATGGGCTGGAGAAGGAAATGGCAAGCCACACCAGTATTTCTACCAAGAAAACTTCAAATGGGGTCATGAAGAGTCAGACTTGACTGAAACAACTCAATAATAACAACAAAATCTATTTCCATTTTTGTGGATGGACAAAAAACAGGTGCTTATAGTATTAAACAATTGATAAAACTATTTTACTTATTTGGTTTTGGAATGTACTGACTTTAATTTAACAGATTTATGTTTATTAGGTAAGAGTAGTATTAAAATTAGTCTTAAACTCTGTATATAGGGTCATAGAATTGGAGCCAGAAAGGACCTTGGAGGATCTTTAGTTGACTTCTTCATTTTACATGTGAGGGACTAAAACTCAGAAAGAGAAGTGACTTGCCCAAGGTCACACTGACAGTAAGCTTTAGAGCTGGAAATGGAATCGGGACCTCTGACTTCTGGTGCTATTTTTAACTTACTATGCTAGCTCCCATCTGGTAGGGAGATACCAGATAAGTGTTTCGTAACAAAGGCAATAAGAGTAAATTCCCCATGTTAGTAATTCCCAAAGCAAGTAATACACATGTAGACCATCAGAAGTTGATTATTCTTACTCCTATTGGGGTTAGAAATGGTCAGAAGATACCTTTGCTACATTTTTTTATAGTTTTCAGAATTTCACTACATTGCAAAGTCTTTTGAAGGTAAAGTTTTGTCTTTGTTATGCCTACTATGGCACGGATTGAAGTAAGTGCTTAATAAATTAGTTATACCCCCTATTAGAATTTAACTATATAAAGTCTAGATAGGTACAGTAAATATAATTCAAGATTAGGATGCATTTAACATCAAGTTTCAATAAAGCTTTGTATATGACAAAATTGAAAGAGTCAGCTTTGCCACTTATTATAGAGGTGATGATGGATTACAGTTAAAATACAATATTGACATTATCAAGATAGTAAAATAAAAGATATAGGAATGTGAAGTGTATTTAAATTTTAGAATGAGATAATATGGCAGATATGTGGTAGTTATTACCAATTGTTCAACTCTCTTTTTTTAATTGATTTTGAGATTTCATGGAATGAAATCATATATACTCAAGTTATAGCAGGCATTTGTTTTTGTTTGATTTTAAGTTTTTTGGGTAACATAGGATAAAACACAATTTAGCTATTAGTAACTACCTTATCCTTTCTCAGAATGTATTATTGCCCGAATGCTTCTACTCCTTTTTTGATCTCCGGAAAGAATTCAAGAAGTGTTGCCCTGGTTCACCTGATATTGACAAATTGGATGTTGCAGCAATGACAGATTGTATCCTTTTAATGATTCTGATCAGAACAACCCAGCTATCCAGTGGAAAGATGTCTGGCTGTAGATTTATGTGGAAGTGTCAACTTAGAAGCTTGGTGTACTTGGAAAACAATGTTTTGATTGGTTTCTTTAAAGGGGATTGTAGGTAGAATAGACATGGCCCAACATGATTCTACTCTAAAATGGTAAAACAAATATTTGAAGTACAGGCACGTCATTCTAAAATATTTCTCTGTTTTAATGAGGTTGAGCAGTGGTCTGCAAGATAAACATAATTCGAGACAGATTTTGTGAGTAGGATGACTGAATTTCTGTGATGTGACTTGGGGTTTGGGGTTGCGCTTACTGTTGTTTTTTTTTATGGAGATTAATTGGAATAGAAATCATTTCCTTCATTTATTACCCAATTTTGCCTATTAAATCTTGGCACAGATGATAGAATCATAGATGGAGAGCTGGAAGATAGCATCAATGTCATCTAGACCAATGCCTTCATTTTATAGATGAGGAAACTGAGGCCCAAAGAGGTTAAGCAATTTGGACAGGGACATAATGGTAGTGTCTGATGTGAGATCTGAACCCATGTCCTCATTCCAATTCCAGTGCCTTTTTCAAGGTCATGTGGTTCTTTGGGGGTATATATTGGTTCTTTAGTTGGCTTTGGGTTTCTCTGGAATGAATTAGGATTTTTATTCTTATTTTTTTTTACATTTTTCTTCTCATAAGCACTTTTGACTGTATTCAAAACAAACTCTCTTGTTTTCTGGACTGTTCTCAATAAGTTCAGTTAACCTATATGCAACATATCTTTGAAAACTTCAGGCATAGGTATGGTTATGTCTGATGTACATTAATACTAGTATTGTGTATATTTTTATATAATATAACATGGATAAGTTTATTCATAGACCTTAACCTAGTGAATAACAAATATTCTATTTCACAGCTTTACAGTACTAATAAATAGTAACAGTATTCTGATATCACAGATAGGGAAATTGAGCTGTAGAACTAGTCAGGCTTTCCCCCCACCCTCCTTCAAGGCTACTGAAACAATTGAATCTCGAATTAAAATATCCAGACACCTTTAGAACTATTAAAAGATATATTTGCCTTTAAACTTTAAATAATTTTTCTAAGCTTCTTAGTGAATATCAGTAGTTCAAGCACTGATATTCTCAATAACTATGATGTATTTTATTTTTAGAAATAGCCTTCCTCACTACTTTTCTGTTTACTGGTAGGAGTAATTTGTCTTGTTTAGGATGGATTGGTTGGAGTTCAGGTTTGTATGTTTCAAGTTTTAACAAAGGACTATCACTTCAGTATGACTGGTTCTTGGGGGAGGCTAGAGTGAGTTCAAATGAAGGTGGTCCCCTTAAAATTCTCTTTCAGAGGTTGACTACTCATCAGCAGTATCTTAATACTAACTTTGAAGGATGTTGAATATTTAAAATAGCTGAATTATTACTATTACTACCTTTAAATCTTCTAAAATATATGGCGCAAAAAAAAAACTTAGAAAATTTGGGCACAGTAGAACAAAATAGCCAGTAGGTCATCTTTAGAAAGAAGGAATCACTATAGGAAGATTAATAGACTCAGTAATGCTTATAGAAATAAAAAAGATTGTATGTTCTAGATAAATAAGTAAATTGCAGTTTACTATGCTATTCAAGATATGAGTGACAACTTCTTTATTTTATTAATCTGTCAGCCACAGCTAAATACTGGTAGTCTTCTTAGTTCATCATTCCATTTATCTTCTGCAGTTCAGGAGAGACCTATTAAAAGTTCAACATTTATTTTAGAATTTATTATTTTCACATATACAATCTAGCCCACTTAGTGCCAAAGTAACTACTGTAGACTGTCAATAGGACTTTTAAAACTTAAAAACTGGACTGTTAAAGTTTTACAAACTTTGATGCATGGACAAGGAACTATGCAGAAGATCTGTTGAGTAGAGCTTGATTGAAGTAATGATATCACATCACCTACAGTCTCTTCTGGGCTGATTCCCAGAAATCCTGAGATAAGAATTCTGAACTGTGAAATGGCAGTAGCTACAGTAAGCATTGCTACCATAAGCTAAAAAAACAAAAACATTTAGCATGAACTTTTAAAAATGTAGTCAAAGATTTGTTTAATGTCTGTGGATACCCCCATACAAATTTAATGTGGACAGATGATTAAATCCAGTATAAAGACAGGGCATTTTCTTTTGGTAGTTGTTTGGTACAAGACAGCTTCAGCATAGTAGTTTCTCCGGAGTATTTTGATAGGTTTAATAACATTTCTGGGGGGCAGCTAGGTGGCCTACTGGATAGAGCACTGGCCCTGGATTCAGGAGGACCTGAGTTCAAATGTGGTCTCAGACACATAACACTTACTAGCTGTGTGACCCCATTGCCTAGCCAAAGAAATAAATAAATAGGTAACATTTCTGGAAGATTTTTTTCAGAGTTGTGGAGTGAGGTTGGTTTTTTTGTTTGGGTTTTGTGATTTCATCACAAAGGGTAGAGAGCTTAGTCTTAGTTGGGCAGGGGCACTGAGAGATTGTCATGTCCCCAGTCACACAGCTAGTATGGCTAATGTCAGAACCAAGTCTTGCACCCAGGTCCTCCTGATTAGTCCTAAACCCGGTCTTCTATCCTTTCTACCACCTTACCTCTCCTTATTTTTGTAATCTTTAAAAAAAAATATGAAGTGAGCTTTCAATCATTATAGTACTCTTTTCCTTATTAAACTCTGTTTAGGATGTACTTAGATTTGAATCAAAGTACTAAAATGCTAAGTTTATTAGTTTGCCTATAGCTCCCCATGGGCACATACACATTTATTGCATATGCACTCAATCTAAGATGATTTAATTTATTTTGTAATGCACATTTAGAGAAGCAGGTTCCTTTCGTCAGAACACAGGCACCATTTCTTCAGGTCAAATGGAACCATCTGGAACTGCATTTCAAAATTTTTATGAGAGCCCTTATCTATGCAAAATAGCTTCATGATGCTTGAAATGTAGGTCCATTCTGTACTTTTAGGCCACAAAAAGGCTCTTTTTTTTTTTTTTTTTTTTTTTTTTAAGTGTTGGGATGACAGTGTGGAATCCAGAACTTGATGAACATGTTCAGGTCTTTAAGCTTAAATGTCCTGTTGGCAGGTTTGCAGCACTGGTAGACAAGTAGATAGGGAGTCATGTGCCTGAGGATTACCTGCTCAACCTGGTCAACCAGTGCGGGAGTGAGAGGAACATCTTTTAGCCAATTCTTGTCAAGCAGAGATTGATAGCTTTTATAGGATTAGGGGATTACAAAAATCTCTGTTTCATCTGCAAATGGTCCATTTTCTGGACAGTGCTTCATTCTTTGTGATTTCTCTTGGTGTCTTATAGTCGAAGAGTGATATTCCCTTTAAAAAAAAAAAAGACACAGGACAGTTGGGCAACTTGCTGCCAGATGTTTGCTAGCATTTACAAAGAGCATTGAGGTTTGCAAAGTGTTTTCTCTGTGTTATCTCCTTTGATTTCTTCAGATTATTGAACACATTGCTTTTTCTATCTTCACAATTGATTTTTATGTCCTAGCATTACAAATTTGGGAGCCGTGGATGCTCTTAGAGGGAAAAGTAGCACTGCAGTTGTCAGTTTTCTTAGTTTTATGATTTAAAACATTTCATGGACATTTTTTGTTTTTTACATCACCCACCCACCCACCCACCTACCCACCTATAACAAGCCAATCCTTGGAACAAAGAAAATAAAAGAGGAGGAGGAAAAATCATTTACCAAAGCCAACCAGTGCAGCAACTTTGACAGTATGTACAATATTCCACACCCATAGTCCTACACTTTTGCAAAGAAAGTGAAAGAAGGCATATTGTCTCATCTCTAATGTGATACCAAACTTGGTATTATTTCACAGTGTTCAACTTAGGTGGCATTTTTTTGAGATTTCAATAAATATTTTATAAAACACCTAGGAAATAAGGGAATAATGTCTTCCTTATGGATGAGGAAAGTGTTTGGGGGGAATCATTCTTTCTGGATGATTTTTTTTATGCAAATTAGGGATTTTGTCTCAAGCAAGACTAGTGATGTCATTGTATTTGGTGCTTGGAGTATCTCCAGCAGTTTTCTGTTGCCTGTAACATATACTAAAGGGTTTCCTCATTGGACCTAATCTGGCTTTTGTGTGAGCATTGGATTTCCTAGAGAGGACCCCTTCTGATGTTAGACCTCTGAGTTTTCAGGGTAAAGCATTGTCAACAGGGAAAAATAGGGAACCTGGCTCGCAAAAAAAAAAAAAAAAAAAAATTTATATAGGTTGATTGATACCAGCTGCCTTTTCCTTAAATAGGTGAATCAGTAGTTTCTGGAATATTTGATGAGAGAATTACTCTAGATCTTTTGGGAAACTCACTGCATTCTGAAAAAATATATATTTTTTATCTTAATTTATTTTTTGTTTTCAGCATTCATTTCCATAAGCTTTTGAGTTTTAAATTTTCTACCCTTCCCTCCCTACCTCCTTCCCCAAGACAGCTTGCAATCTGATGTAGGCTCTACATATACATTCCTATTAAACATATTGAAAAAAATATATTTAGAAACATTTTATTGGTGTATTGAGCAGAAATGCCCTTTTGGTGTGATTTTTTTTTTCCTTTTAAAAAGTTCCATAAAATAGTGAGCATTTTTAGAAACCAGTATAAAGTCCTTTTGGTGGTTGTTTTTAATGTATTGATAGCCCCATTGTTCAGGGCCTGATTATTTGTGGTTTAACCAGGGCTTCAGCTGTTTTCAGTTCTCTTGTTTTCTGCCTTTGAATCATCTTAATTCAGAAATAAGTCTTATCAATTTACACACTTAGCATCATGAACAAATAAATTAAGTTAACCTAAGAAAGAGACTATTAAGGAGAAACATCTTTTCATCAAACACATTTGTTAAATATCCAATACCTGAGCTATAAAGAGAATTAAAACAATTTCTAAAA